TCCCAGGGCAGTGTCACAGCCCCAAGGCTGACAGAGCTCAGGGAGTGTTTGGCCAATGCTCTCAGGCACAGGGTGCAGTGCTGGGGTGTCTGTACAGGGGCAGGAGTTGGACTCTGATCCCTGTGTGTCCTTCCAGCTCAGGATACTCTGTGATTCTGTGAAAACCCTGCCCTCTGGCAGTGGGAAGCCTTTCCCCCTTGTCCTGTCCCTCCAGGCCCTTGTCTCAAGTCCCTCTCCAGCTCTCCAGCCCCTATAGGCACTGGAGTTAAACCACGACCTAACATCCCCAGAGAGAGCTCTGCAACACATCTGTGCGGCATCTTTGGGCAGGAGTGAAGTCACACAGCCCCGAGTAGTCTCACTCTCAGCAGAGCCTGCTGGGCAGGTTTGCTGGTTTGCCCTTTGAGATGCAAGGGAAACATTTCCTCTCTGAACTAATGACTCCTGTAATGGATTTCCTGTTCATTTTATAGCAGGAGGGGAGCTGGCAGATTGCAGCTGGGCTGCAGTGAGACCTGGGCACAACTGGGTTTGCTGGCAAACCTGATCTTTGCTTTAGACATGTTTTTATTTGGGCTGATCCAAAGCATCACACTGGGATTCCAACAGGCTTCAGTGGGAACGAAGAGGGGTATTGGGGAGCAGTCAGGCAGTGCTTTGGAGGTACACAGGAATGGCCCAACGATGTGAACTGCTCTATGGACTGATCAAAGGTCCCTCTAGCCCAGCACTGACTGCAGCAGTGGCAGGAGGAGACAGCACGTGAGCCCAGTCAGGAGTGCCATGTGCTCCTCGTGGACTTCTCCAGCAGCCACTACTGTCACGCACAGAAATTAGAGGGCATCTGCCTCTCTGCTGTTTTTTTCCATAACCCCTTGCTGAACCCATGAATCCTCCCTGTCTGTGCAGCCTCCCACATCCTAGGGAGGTAGAGCTTCAGTGGTCACATAGCAGAGGCAGGAAATAACTGCTTGGCAGCCCTATGAGGCTTTGCTGGGCTACTGTAGGACATAGGTTTTATGTCAGCTCTCAATGAAACCCCTGTGAACAGCCTTCAGGATAACCTGCATTTCTCTTTCCTTGAGTTTCTCCAGCTCAGCCTCTCTCACTTGAAGAGAATGATGCAGTTCCCAGTGCTGGGAGGATGCAGGCTAAGTCCACCACTACATTCATACCCTGTGCTGTAAAGTGCAGAGTTCCCACTGTTCCTGGACTTTCATCTGCACTTTATCTCCAAGCTGTCACTCTGCCTTTCCCTTCAGTTCACATTCCTCTCTCTTACTTCCCTGTGCCCCTACAGCTTTGGGCAGTGAACAGTAAGACCCACCTGATCCATCCCCTCTCCTCAGCAAGCTTTGCTGCTTCCTGGGCTGTTCCCTGTCCCCTCACCGGGGCAGGGTCCATCCTGTGCCACTCATGTCCTGCTCACACCTCGTGTCCACTGAGCTCCCCCACAGCCCTGAGACTCACCCAGCACACAGGGGCAGCTCCCAAACCAACCTGCAGCCCCAGCCACACTCTTCCTTCCCCTCTGTCCTGGTGGTAAATGTCACACCATCTCCTGCCCAACCACCTCCTGCCTCAGCCTCCCTTCCCACTGCAGGCACAGAGCACAGACAGGAGAGCAGAGCAGCCATGTGCAAGTCCCTTGGGAAGTTTTGCCTTTAATGAAACCTAATATTCTTGTTATAAATGACCAGTCTGGAATCCAATTAAATTCTTGGTCTCAGTGGCTTCTTATCATATTAACATTTCACTGACTGTCTCCTTCCCCTTGGCCATGAGACACAGACAGCAGGAGTCCTGCTCCCACTCTCCAGGCCATTTGGGCACAAAATATCCTCCTGTCACATCCCTTTGGACAGCTACTGTTACAACACAGCTGTTTGCAGCAGGATCCATTGCCAGGTGCCTCCTCCAGCCCATGCAGGTCTGGGACTCCCATCTGTACCCCGATCTGCAGCCAGCCAGACCTGGGGATAGTCTTCATGTTGCTCCGTGATTTCCCCCTCTTGAGTCCTGATGTCCATCTGCTCTTCTGACTGCAGCTGCCCCATAAGCAGGAGTTCTGGGGACATCTCTGCCCAGTGCAGCTAAATCAACAGGGAATGCTGCCTGCTAGCAGGGCAGGATTGAAACCAGGCAAAGCATGGCATGGCACGATGGATGGCTGAGCAACAAGCAGAAGTTTGCTGGGTCCAGTGCCAGACCACACACCTTGGGCACCTCATTCACAGAGCTGGCACCAGCCAGCCAGGGACACGTCTGCACCACCCAGGAAACACAACTGAGGGCCAGGCTGAGCCTGGGGCAAAGGGATGTGTGTGCTCAAACACCTGCAATCCAGCAGTGTCAGCTGCCAGGACAGGACATGCTGCCTCAAGCTCTGCCCACGCTGGTGGAGGAGATCTCCAGGCACACGGCAGTGGCCAGCCCTGGTCACACACTGAGGGGGCCTGGGGCCGTGCCAAGCTGAGCCTGAGCTCCCTGCACAGCTGTGTTAGAGTGTGGTAGCAGGAACGCTGCCTCAAAGGCTTTGGGCCATGGGCACTTTGGACCAGATTTGCATCAGAAAGCTGATGTGGCACCAGTTTCATAAACAAGGGAGTGCAATCAGGGAAGACCAGGAGGGGGTTAGATGTTTCCTGCCAGGGAATCAACTCTTCATCCTGAGCACAGCTCCCACAGCTCCAGCTTCATGGTCCATGTCATTGCCCTGCTGGGGCCCACCAGCCACAGGCAGCAGGAGCTGTGACCCTGTGCTTCTGCTGTGTCTCCTGCTGCTATGCAGAGCTGCCAGCCTGCCTGGCAAATTACAGAGCTTGAGGGAATTGTGGCTCCAGGATGCTGCAGAGGCTGAAAGCACAAACTGATCTGAACAAGTGGCAGAAGAGGAGGTGTGTTGGCTGTGTCAGTGCTGTTAAACAGGGTCTGAGTGACCTCTGAGCTGTTAGATGGGAGGTGGGCATCAACCAGGAGAAGGGCTGTTGTCTGCACATTCCATCCCTTGTGCTTTCCTCCGGAGTTCCTTAGGAACTGTTGGTAGATGTGGGATACTGAGTGAGGAAGCTAGGGCCTTACACGAGCTTCCTATCAGCAGCAGCTGATGGAGGTTATCACGCCCTGTGTGTCTGCAACCAGAGAGCAAACACATCAGCAATTCTCTCTGTGCAGCCCTGGCAACCCCCCCAGCTCCCAGGGCATATGGGGGAGCAGCAGGGCTGCCTTGGCTTCCTGTGGAGGTGCAGACTACAAAGAGGAGCTCGCTGGGGTCTGCATTTCTGGGTTTCTCTTCTGCTTCTGATCAGCACCAGCCACCCTCACCCACAGCAGGTGGCAAGGCCTTTGGGCCGGTGCTGCTGTGCTGGGAGTCTCACAAGGCTGAGGAAGGGCTGCCATGGGATCCAGGTGGGATCAGGACTTCTGGAACATTCAGCACCTGAAGCCAGAAGTGGGAGCTGGGCATTATGGGCCTGTTTATATCATCTTGTTGTCCACAATGAGACCAATTCTCCAGGCTGAGAATTTGCACTTCAGATTTTTCTGTTAATGCTGAGGACATCAGCCATGGAGAAAGGCTCTGTGCTGTCCTTGGGGAATTGCCTCAGGCACCCACTGATTCAGTGCAGGAACACAGTGATGGAGGTAGCCAACATCTCTGTGCTGCAGTTGTGGTGCCAGGAACAGGCTGATGGTTGGGGTTTGGGGGTGGCTCTAGTAGACAACATCACTGCACATAGACAGAGGCTGCCAAACAGCTCTGCTCCTGCAGGCCTAGGGGAACAGCCTGACTCAAATACCAAAAACATGCTGCTTGTGGGGCTGCTCCTTGCCTTGAGCTTGGAGCACAGAGTGAGCTCCAGTTTGCAGCTGTGTCCCAGTAGCTGCTGTGACAGGTCAGTGGGTCACTCACTGCAGGAAAGACATTGAGGGGCTGGTGGTGTCCAGGGAAGGGATCGGAGCTGGGAAGGGGCTGGAGCACCAGGAGCAGCTGACGGAGCTCTGGGGGCTCAGCCTGGAGAAAAGGAGGCTCAGGGAAACCTTCTGTTCTCTACAATTCCCTGCCAGGAGGTGCAGCCAGGTGGGGTCAGGGGCTGCTCCCAGGGAACAAGGGACAGGACAAGGGGAAATGGTCTCAAGCTGTGCCAGGGGAGGTTCAGGCTGGACATCAGGAGGAATTTCTCCATGGGAAGGGCTGTCAGGCATTGGAAGGAGCTGCCCAGGGAGGTGGTGGAATCACCATCCCCGGAGGTGTTCAGGGAACACTGGACGTGGCACTTAGTCCTCTGGGCTCATTGACAAGGTGGTGATGGGTCACAGGTTGAACTCGATGATCTTGGAGGAATTTTCCAGCCTCGATGACCCTGTGATTCTGTGAATGACAGGAATGTCCTGGTCATGGGCATCACATCCAATCCTCCTGTTCTGATGAAGGTGGCCTCTTCTGATACAAAGTGGTCTGGAACTATGTTGTCCTGCTTCTCCTCTCCTCTAACTCTGGATGAACCATCTCTGGCTTCCCAGTTTCTACCCCTGAACTGCAGTTTTCACTCAGCAATATTCACAGCAGGCTTGGCTCACACTCTGCAGCTGGATGGCTCCTCTCTGCTGATGTATCTTGCAAAAGATCCTGGGGGGAGCCAAGTTACTTCAGAGCTTTACCCAGGTCACTTTGGGGCTTTGCTTTACCCAACATGTGCTGTTGGGTCACACTGGCCAGGAGATGATGCAGAGAGCTTGGAAATGCCCTGCTGGGCTCAGCTGAAAACTCCTGCTCTCTTCTTTTCTGGGATGAAATACAAAGTTCATTTTCACACTGGAGACCATGTAGGAAAGAGACTTACTGGGATGAAATCCTCTAGGAGAGTACAAGAACATGTTTGGTTTTATGGCTAATCCACACAGGTTGATAGAGGGGAGAGGAGCCTTCCTGGGCAGGTCCTGGGCTGCTCTCAGCGGTTAAAGAAGAAGGACTTGAGGCTCTGTAGAAACTGTGACTTCTGTCTCTGCTTCTGCTTCTTCCTGATGATGGGGATCCACACAAGGCCACAAACCAGGAGCATCAGTCCCAGGGACAGGAAAGCTGGGCCACACATCTTGTAAACCTTTTTGTTGTTGGGGAAGACGCAGGAGAGGCTGGTGATGACCACCCCGAAGAGGAAGACTGCTGCTCCCACAGACACCACAATCACAGGCTTGTGGTATATGTCCCACTTGCTCCTGGAGGCGCTGGTCCACACGGACTCACTCCGGGAGCTCATGCACAGGGTGCTCTCAGTGTTACTGGTCATCAACTCCTTGGACTGGGGAGACTTCTCACTTCCATCAGGGCTCTTGGGGGGAACTTCCATGGTGATGGGACCTGAGGCAAAAACCTGAGAGGGACACGAGAAAGCAGAGCAGGGCAGGTGGTGGAGGATTGACGGTGCTTCCCCTTCGGTCAGCAGGCAGTGCAGCTCACATGAAGGTGGAGAAGGTTTTGTGGGTCGCTGCAGGGAAAGAAAAGTATAAATTCTGTGAGAGCAATGAGATGTAGGAATGTAGGGCTGGATGTTCCTCACTGCCCCATGCTGGGAGCAGCCACAGCACAGGAGCTTCTCACTTCCTGTGTACAGTGGGAGATGGAGAATGCTGGTCACAGGACGTGTTTCTCCAGCTGTCAGCTGGGCCAGGCTGCTGTGGGAGCAGAACACCAAAACCCTCTGCCCTGTGACAGCTGGGGCAGCACTGTGGCTTCTGGGCACATTAGTTTTTCATCAGCTCAAGCAGGAAATACATTTTCCCAGAAACAAAAGTGCCTTTAGCACTGAGAAACCATTATGGTAATGGGAAGGGCCGAGCATTATGTTACTCACTATTTCCTCAGGGCTCTGCTGAGGAGCTAGGGATAGGGGCTGGATCCAGGAGAGCTCCTGCTGCTAAGCCTGCCCTGCTGCTGGGAAGCCTAGCAGGGACGAGCCCATGCAGGGACCAAGGCCAAGGAGGGCAGGAGAGCCTGGGGACGTGGACCCAAGAATCAGATGATTTTTTTTGCAAAGCAAACTCCTGCCTGAGCTGTCAGTTTTCCTCTCAGTGGTGCCAGGAGGGCTGGGACTGCCCTGTCCTCTACTGTCTCCACCCTCAGGGCATGAGTCATAGAATCACAGAACCACCAAGATTGGAGGAGACCTCTAAGATCATTGAGTCCAACCATTAACCTGTCACTGCTGCAACCCCCAAACCTCAAACCATATCAGTGCCTGATCCAGACACATCTTAAACACCTCCAGGGATGGTGAATCCACCACCTCTCTGGACCATTCCTTATTCCAGTGTCTGACCAGCATGGAGATGCTTTGTAGCAAACGTACAACAGCCTGGAGCAGCCCAGGGCCCCACATCTGCGGGGGCTCTCTGTGGGAGGGGAGGTGACCTGCTGCACTCACCATCCCGTGCCCCTGGCACCCCCTCCTGCAGGCACAAGAGCAGCAGCTCAGAGTGTCCAGCTCTGCGCTGCTGTGTGCAGCCCCAGGAGGGTTGGATTCTGCTGGGCTGAGCAAGGTCTGCTCTGGGAGATGCCAGGGAGGGTGTGTGGGTGCCAGGCATGAAGCTAAAGCCCTGTCCCCTGTCCCCATGCCCCTGCTCAGCTTGGAGCTCCGACGGGCTGGCAGTGGCTCTGGGGGCAGCTGTCCCTGCAGGCTGGCTAGCTCTGCTCCAAGACCCAGAGCAGACAATCCCCTCCAAATGCCAGGACACTTCACATCACCTACAACCCCCCAGATCTCAGTTGTAAATTGAGATGGGGCCACTGCCCATGTGCTGGTGAGGTGCAGCTGGTTGGGCCTGGCCACCTGCATCCCTTGGGAGCAGCTTTCCAGGTCACCCAGAGTTTGGAGGGTCCCAGCAGCACGCCCAGGGGCTGCTGAGCAAAGAGCACCTGCAAGTCTCTTTTTCAGGCTCTGCTAAGTCTGCCCCCCAGCCTTGCCATGCTGTATCCCCTCTCCCCTTCCACCCCCCAGCACCAAAGCCATGGAGACCCATCCTACTCACGTGTGAGTGGGGAGGGCTGGGTGCCCACCCCGGTGGCTGTGGCACAGGCTGCAGCAGCAGGTTCCCCTCTCCAGGCTCACCCCAGGCCCCACATCCCTCTGGGTGTTGTCCACTGGGCTCTGTTGAGTCTAATAAACAATGGAGCATCCCAGCTCTGATGATCTCACCAGGCTATCAGGATATTGGTTAACTCCTTGTTTCCCTGCCTGACTCCATGGCCACTTGCCTGGGAGGCTTTGCTAAAAGACTGTGGTTTGGGAAGCAATCCAGTGGTGTGGCAGGAGAGGCAGGGTGGGCTGGTGCTTGGAGCAGGAGGGAGTCAGGACTGGATCCAGACTTGGATCCTCAGCAAGTTCCTGAAACATCTCTGGACTGCAATTTGTGCTCTCTCAAAGCAGTGGATTGTAGCCAATGAAATGTAAAGTGCTTTGAAGCTCATCAGTGAGACTTTAGAGGGATACAAGATATTAGCAATTATCTATTAATTAACATCCTGAGTCCATTACAGGGAGGGGGATGGGAGAAAGGTGGTTCTGGAATATTGCTTCCTTTCCCAAACCCACAGCCAAACTTTAATGTGAGTGTGAATGCACTTGGTCAGGGAAGGAATCCAGCCTGGCACAGACACCACTGGTGGCCAGGCCTGGGTTCCAGCGGGTGGATGGGGTGTCTCTGTCCCTCAGGGCCCCTTGCTGCTTTGGTGCAGTGAGTAACGGTGTCGAAGCTGCACCACAGACCTGGCCAGGGCATGGCATGGGATAGGAAGAGGCTGTGGAGCTCTCCTGGGGATGGGCATGGCCCAGAGCATCCCAAGGCAGCACATGGGCCTGAGAGTGTGAGGGTCCAGAGTGTCAGACTGGGGCGACACCAGCTTATCCAGGTGTGAGGAGCTCAGGGAAGAAGACCAGAGCCTGGTTGAGGTCCTTCAACTCGGCTCTGTGTGTACCTCTAGCCAGCAGCAGTGGCCATGGGACAGGTTCTGGAGCTGTTCAGGAAGGGGAAGCTGGAGCAGTGGGTTCACAGCCTGAGGCAGGGGCAGAGAGTGGCAGGGGTGGGATGAGCTCAGGCTCCTTGTCCGCGGCCTGTCCTCACTCCTGATGGGAGGTGGATGAGTTAGCTGAGCACAGTGGCCCTGGGGTAAAGTGGTGAACTGCCCATTGATCTGGGAACCAGCAGCTGAAGGAGACAGAGGGTTTTGAGAGCGTTCGGGGAGGATTTATTTGACCAGATGATTGAGTGGATTTGGGTTCCCTCATGCAGATCCAAGGGGGTAAGTTTTTTGACCTGAAGTTGGCATAAAAAACCAAACCAAAAACAGAGGTGGAAGGCTGTTTCACTCACACCCTGCTTCTGCACCATCTCCAGGCTGAACTGAGCTGCTTCTGCCCTGCTGGGTACCACCCAGCCCTGTGCTTCAGCCAGCACATGGCCCTGCTCGGTTCATCCCCCAAACCTGCCCCGTGCTCCCTGCAGTG